ACACCCCTGATGCCTGCAGTATTATGTTTACTCATCCTTTCTTATTACTAACCCTGCTCTCAGCAGATACCCCCAAAGCCCACAGGCTCTTTCCCTCCCTCACGCCTGTCCACAGCAGCAGCAGATTGCCATCCTCTATCAGCTAATTCATCAGTCCTGGTGGCAGATGTCCGTGTGGTGGACCTAAAGGTTCCAGCCCAGCAGATGACTCAGAGTTTAGCATGCTGGGCTTCATTTCAGCTGTGTGTTTTGCTTTGAATCAATGAAAACTTCCACCCAGAATAGTATTAAAAGTATGCAAAGGCTGCAACATCAAGCACTCCAAAGTCAGGAATGGATACAGAGAAGTTACTTAAGCAGAAATAATTTAAATTTTAGTATATGTGTGCATGACAAAGGAGATGATAATTAAAAAGCACATCCCAGGTGAGTGATTTTTTTGTTTTCTTTTTGGTCATCATTTTGTTTTCTCTATCTCAGTCAGGTCACAAGGTGAATAGCATCTAGCAAAGGAATCATTTGCATGTAGGACTCCAGCTCCAATGACAACAGGAGGTGGAAAACAGGGAGAATAGAAGAAAGATGGAAGAAAGAAGACAAACTTCAGTGTTGTAGTGAGAGTTTCAGGGAGCACTGAATCTCATTTCTGCATTTTCATTTGGGGGGGGCAAATTACTTGAAACAGATTAATTCCAAGGAATCAGTAGCTATCTGTTCCTTTTCTTCTACGTCCTAAGAACTCCAGATGACAGAAACAGTCTATCCCAATCTTCCTTGCAGAAGGAAGAGGTAGAAACAAGACAATGAATCTATCAATCTTTGCTGAATGACACGAAACAAGTCTGATTCCAGGCATCTTAAATCATCTATCACAAACAAGTAGATACTTCTGATCATAACTGTCTGTTTGTTTCCTATCCACACAAGGATAACACATTTATGTCTCATGGGGGACCCCCCAAAAAAATAATCAACACTCCTAAAATCCTCCCAGGGCACAACAGCGAGCAAAACAAAAGAGTCCATGAGGAGATTTACAATTCTATCCTCAGAGCAAGATCTGAATAGCACACAGTAAATATGGGACAAGGCAGCACAATGAACACTGAAGCTAAACCAAAATGCTGAATAGCTGCTTACCACGTGGAAGTTTTCCATTTGGAGAACTCGGTGAGGCAGGGGTCTAGCTGGGAGGATAACACAAGCCCCTGTGGTTAAAGGCCACATCACAATGCACACACTGGAGGGGAGGGAGCTGGCACTGAACACAATACCTAAGTTCCCTCATTAAATCTGTTTTAAAGAGTGCATTTGCTTGTTGGGATAAGTGCTGGATGGTCAGATGGAACCTGTCTGACAACTAAGCTGCTCTCTCGGTGTCTGAGGCTTCATGTTAACCTAGAGGTAAGGAGCCATCTCTGTTGACCACCCATATCTTGAGCTTGCCAGTACTGACCACTTGATCCCCAGTCCAAAACATTTAAGCACCTGCTTAACCATAAGCACAAAAGGAACATTGTTGAATTCAATCAGATTGTTCATGTGTTTCAACCTAGCTGTGATTATCTGCTTTATTGGATTCCTTGCCTAGGATATAGACATTCATACTCCAAACAGCTCTCTGTGTGAAGTGTGTTATCAGGCCCAAGCAGAAATTTTTGGATCCACAGTTCAGATGCTGGAATGGCTCATATGATTATGCTTTAACATACTTAAAAGTTAGCTGAGTTGGTTTAAACAATACATTCGTGTTCAGGGCTAATTCTGCTAACCTGGTCCAGCACAGACAGGGGAAACATCAACATATATCATCCCATGGAAAGGTGAGAACACATCGCTCTCTAGATGGGCAGGGAAAGGTGCTGAAGAACAGAAACATCTCCAGCCAACAGCACGTGATCTAGAAGAGTAAGTCTGTCACTTCAGTGTCATCTGCAAGACTGACACCAATAGAAAGGGCTGAGAATATCCCCTCACTTCACGTATGCCAGCACAATGATCATCAGGGTGGTTGTGCCAAAATCAGTGATGTGGAGATCAAAAGCTTCCTATTGTTCTCTCATTTTTTTAACCCATCCACTCCTTCCTAAGGATGATAGGGTCATTATGGAATTCAAAACACTTTAAAAATAAAATAAGCACACTTTGTAAAAGCCAGAAGAACAGTGAACCACAGGTGCTTTGGTTTATTTTTATACAGTAACTACACTCAGCCTTGGAACACTCAGTGCTGGAATCACTGTAGCTGTGTGTGTGTGCCTCATACCCACTTCACTTATTTCTGAGCCAGTCATCCTCCCTGCTCCAGAATGAACTTTTTTTTCAAAGGAAGCAGCTTATCTTCCATACTGCAGAGCAGAAGAAAAATCCTCCTATACAGCAATATTTAAAACCTGGTTTAATGGTCTTATGGCAGCTAATTTTCCTTAAGTGATTTAAGGGAATGAATACATCTAAAAGTCCTGCACTGAGCTGTTCTGCATTGGCAACATGAAGCCAAACTTCCCCTACTTTAAACAGTCCAGTCTTCTGTGGGCAGCCCCTCATGGCAGATCTTGTCTGGAATGGGAGGGAAGAAGGTTATTTTTTTTATTACATTATTTTTCAGGGAACTGGACCTTGCATTTTATTTCATTTCATTTTCCAGAATATGGGAACACCTCAGGTGAGGAGAAGGTGGCAGGACAGATATGTTCAAATGCATAATCCCTGATCTGATGCAGTCTGACACCAGCCCTCCTGCAACTGGTCCCCTCTGCATGCAGCCAACCATCTATCACGTATTACTCATCTGAAAAGAACATTGTACACCTGAAACGTACTTAACATTTTCAGCTACCTGAAAGGATTCAAAGCAGGTTTTATTCTGGCACTGTCAGAACTCAATAAAAACAGTCACTGCTAAAGCAGGATGGTGCATGCACAGTCCCATGCCCTCTCACTGAGGCAGCTGGCATTTTTCCCCCTTTTGTCCCAGCACTTTGGATATGGTCTTTCCACACAAATATTACTGGTATCAGAGGGACTAAGAACCTGGTATTGCCTGAAAATAACAGTAATCCCATATACTGCATTGTACTGCTGAGCATCCCTGAAACTGTCAGAAAGGCTGGTGTTGACTAAGGGATGATAAAACCAGAAAAGGAGGTTTTTTGGTGGGTAGCTAATTCACTGAGAAATGGAATTCCGAAGAGCAACCTGAACTTTGCTGGTCCTTCAATCCAAAAAATATAATTTCTAAATAGTATTTAAAAAAAATTAAATAACCCTGAAAATGAAATGTTACACTTTTGTTTGAAAGGCTCCTTTTTCTTTTCCTCAAAAGGAAACGAACTGGAACTGGTTCATCTCAAGTTGATCACTGGACAGGGGTGGGAGACAGAGAGATTGAGAAAAAAAAAAGATTTCCATTTCAGACCAATTCTGACCAAGCATTTCTTTTGATTTTTCATTTTACCCACCACAGCAAATTAATTCATTCTTCACACATAGGGCAGCTGGAAACTACCAGAATTTTCAAAGCTGCCCTAGAAGGGGATGAAGCTGAAAACAATTTTCCCCTGCCTCCAAGAATAGCTTTATTTTACTGACAGTGACTTTTAATAGTGCCAGGATTTGTTGTCTTACTGGCTACAAGCATTTCCCTACACCCAAAGTTCTTGTAGTATTTAAGCATCTCTTTATTTTTGAAAGAGAGCTTTCTTCTCAAAGCAGTCTCTGTGCTCTCTCCATCTTCTTAGAAGGCAAACTGTCTTGCTATTTGGGGTAGAAAGGAAGGACCAGGCTGGCTCTAAAGCTCCTTTCTGTGCCTTCCATCATAATCATCATCAGTCTGATACAGCTTTGGAGCCTCGGTCAGAGGCACAATGCTAAGTGCTGCAGGAACTGACTAGAAACACAAATTCTCTGCCAAACAATTAGCAGTCTAAGAAAATATTTTTCATGCAATTGGATTCCACTCTATATGTAAGGATCTTATCTGTTAACCTATCTTCCTTGTACCTAAACCCTCTTCTGTACAGGTATTACTACCAGCTGGAAGATAAAAAGTCCAATTAAGATGTATTGGGAAAACCAGGAGTTAAATTAAAGGTCTTATCCTATACATGATGTAGCCAGGGGTAAGAATCCTCTTTCTTTATTAGCAAGGCAAACCAGGTCCATTTTCACAGTAACAAAAAGGAAAAAAAGAAAGAAAAATAAAAGGAAAAATTAGCAAAGCTTCAGGGAATTAAAGATCCAAATTCCCTCTCTGTACTGGGAAGCAAAAAGAAAGGACAAACACCAGGAATTCTACAAGGAAAAAAATCATAATCTGTAAAATCTTCTCTTATTTTTTGATAGTGATTTTTTTCCTACCCATCTCCATTTTTTTTTCCAGCAGTTTTTCTTAGGTGCCACGTTCAATAATCCTTCTGCGCTTTGATGTCAAACATTCAATAGCTGTCTGCCTCCCTCCCACTCCTCTTCTCCATATTCTCCGCAATCCATCTCCTCTGATTAGCTAAGATTTCACCTTCAAGAACACCTCTGCTTCTCCTATTGAGCATGACTGTGTGCGTGTGTGTTTATATAATATTTGCAAATATTCTCCCCCTCCTGCCCTGCATGTTACACAGCAACCCCTGCCAGAGCTCCGGATTAAGCATCAATGCCATTCCATAATTCAATTTGGGGGGCCTGCTGTTTGGAATCCGGCTCAGAGCACGAGAGCAGCTCGATTGAATTTAGGCCCTGCTTTCAGAATTATTTCATATTTAATCCGAGCTGAACTTCATTTCACTTGCTCTCTCTGCTTCTGATGCTTCCTGTGACAAAAGACACAAATGTTCCCCGATCTCATGCGGGGGGTGTGTGTGTTTGCTGACTTCTTCTCCCTTATTTTGGTTTACCACTGGATTAAACCACGTCAGAGTTACTGGCATCTCACACAACCCTGCAGCGAGAAAGAGTCGGTACCTCAGCAAGTGGTTGTTCTGGTATCCCCTTTCCCCACTCACCGGATTGTTGTACATGTCGATGATGAGCTGTTTCACTCCGTGCAGTGTGGGATGAGCCCAGGGAGATGGATTTGCCCAGTGCCGGTTTAAATCAAACCCCATCAGGGAGCACCTGCACACACACAGAAACAAACACACACAAATGACATGTATGGGCTGCAGCCTCTTCTGGGTTCTGCTGCAGAATTAGGGCTATATTCTGCATCTGACGTGTGTAAAAATTTTCTTCAGATGGGAAAAACAAAGCAAATACTCTCCTGAGGAAAGACTGCAGCAATGGCCACTTTTAGAAATATTGTGACCAGCAGAATATTCCTGAAACACCTTTGGTAATTCATCCTTCTTCCCCTCCATACCACCTGTGCTCACTCTATCCTTTGCCTTTTTCCAGCTTGGCAGGCTGGCTCTGGAACAGTCTGCCTGACCTTTGAAGTTCCCTTCTCTTCCATGCTCGGGCTGAGGGTCTGCAGCCACGAGGGTGATTCATACTCTGCACCAGCGGACCTTTAGTTTGCCCTCAGTCAGGCTTTGACTCAGCAAAGCTGTAAAGAGCACTGTAATCAATGGCCATTAAGTATGTGCTTAAGGGTTTTAAAGCATGAATGTCATTGTTCCACTAACCCAGGGCCTCAGTCTCTCCCCCTCCTGCAATTGCCTACACAAAAGTTAGCCAACCAAGACACCAAGTTAAAATGCTTATTGGCCATCAAATCCTGTAGGCGTTGAAGCATGTATGCCACCTTGGCTTCTCCTTCTTGCCCTAACTCACATATCCCTCTCAGTACATTTGGTTCTGCTGCTCCCAGTCCTATGGATGAAATAGTATCCCATTCTTTGTGAAGTCCCACTGAAACTCAAGGGGCTGTCATTAGAGTGAACACGGGAGAAATTAAAAAGCTGGAAGTGGCACAAGTAGGAGGAGGGGAAATCATGCCCCTTGCCTACTGCAGAGATCACCGAGACAGTCTGTGGTCACTGATAAACGCAGGAAGAGATGTCTCTGTCATCTCAAGCTGGGCTTGGGATCAGTGGACCCTGGGTAGATCTTACTCAGGCATTCTGTGAAAGACCACACAAATAATAAAAGCCCAGGTAGAGATGCAGCTTCCTCTATAGTTAAATAAACAAATAAACAAAGAAAAAAATAACGTCGCTCTAAGCCTTAAAGCTTCTTGAGAAAAGAAGAGCTTTCATTGATCCCCGGTCTATTACAAGAATGTCTTTTCAGCCTTAATCTTTTAAACACACCTATGCAAACAATAGAAATTTACTCCTGTAGTGCTATCCTTTGACAAAAAATTCTAAGGATCTGATGGCCAAACCCAATAGGTTTTAACTGACAAAAAAGAAAGGAATATAAAAACTAAGAGCAGAGATGTGAAATGCTAAGAAAAGTGAGAGGATGAAACCAGAGGTTGAAATTAATTTCCAAAACTGATGAATAAATATTTTCCCATGAAGCAAAAGATACAAAAGTTAATGGGACATTCTTTTGTATAAATTCCTACGAGGACCCAAGGAAGCAGGAGCTGCTGAGCTGCCTGGGCTGGGCTTAGACAACCCAACCATGAGGCTGCCTGGGAGCTCTGCAACTACCAGCTCTGCAGCTCCATCACTGCTGTCTTTGATGACTTGCTGTCATGGAGAAATCACCTCCTTGTCTCAGTGGCCACTTCTTTGCTTGTATAGAACTCAGATGGATTTCTTTTCTGGACACTGCAAAAGCTAGAATTCCACAGACAACTCTCTAAGTTGTCTCCATCCCACTCCAAAGTAAACCATATTGGATCAGATTGCTCTCTCTCTTCTATTTGTCTTCATGTAAACTCTCTCCACTCAGTTCTACTAAATCCTATCTTCTGTTGAACTCATAGACATTAATAAAAAAATCATAAGTACTTCCAGAGATGTTGGTAGAATTACACTGGGATAAAACTGGTAGAAGAGCAGAATGAGAGAAATAAGTTTTTCATTTAATAAAAGCAGAATCTGTCATGACTCTTTACCATATTTTGGCACAGTTCCCAAGAAAACAACATCCTTACTGTACAAAAACTTTCTTAAGAGCTCAGAATCTGAAATTATATCCTTATATATGGTTAGTGTGTCACATTTACATTTTCTTTTAATAATTTTTAACACTAATAACTCTATAGAAAATGAGTATATCTTGATTCCACTATGTTCATCTCTAAAGCACATTGAATTGGCCAAGCTAAGTGCACCAAAAGCAAATTTTAAATTCACACACGGATCGTCAATATTAAATTTGGGGTTTGGGACCTTTTAGATAACTTTACCTAAGTCATCCCTACAGGGAATAGAAGTAAGCATTATCTAGTTTTTTTAAGTACCTAACTAAGGCATTGAAATTTGCAGTATTTGGACTGAATTGTCATGAATGTCTGGTAAATGATGAATCTCATAAGTTCATTTAAAGCAAAAAGAACAGTTGAAAATAGTTGTTTTTACTTGAGAAGACTTTATAAACAGAAGGAAGCAATGCTTAACAAACAAGTTATTCATTTGGGAAGCTCCTCTGAGCTCTATTTAATAGGAATCCAAATTAATTTCCAAATATCATTTAGCTAGTCTTTGATGTTGTGTATCACATCTTTATCAATGTAACAACAATTAATTAAGTTTCTGATGTAGGCATTACTATTTCTTTCCAGTCTGGAAACAGCGCAAAGTTTTCTCCTCCCTTCCAGTTCTTAAGCCTTTTTTTTTTTCCTCTCCTTTTTGCCTAAAGACAAATTTGTATCTACCACATTCTCTCTTTATTCATCTGCTGCAAACTCATGGTCTCTCTAAGGAAACATCAAGTTGTGTTCCCTGGTACTTCAGATTTGATTATTGACTCTATTACATGTAGAATTGTCTCCCAAAGCTCACGTATATCAGGACACGACCAAAACATACGGCAAGAGTCTCCCACGTGCCTCTTACAGATCCTGCATTCATTATATTCTTTTGCTCCCACATGATGTGATCTCCCTTGTGGCTAATACCTCCAATGCAAGAGCTTGAACAGGATAACTTAAAAATTGCATCTTGCACTGCTTTTTAATTCCTCCTCCCAGTCTTAAACCAGCTCATTTCTAGTACACTGTGCTGCTGCTTCTACTGCTTAACTGTTTGCCTGCTGCTTCAAGCACTGGGTGGGCAAAGTAGAAATATAGATATAGTCTGGAAACAGCAGCTCTACAGTGGGGAACAACTGTGTTCCAATATAATACATAATCTTTCAATATGAGATCAGCTCTCTTACTCAGACTGCAAGTGTTGTCATTGGTTTCAATACACCTCACCTGTCTATATGTGTTTTCTAATTTAGAGAGTGCCTCCAAATCTGGCCTATACAGATTAGATTTATTTTGGGCTGTAAATAAACTGATGTGTTCAGTAAAAAATTTATAAGGGGATAAAAAACCCACTTAAATTATATCAAAGGACTGTTTAAGGATGATCTTGGAAAAGGAGCGTGGAAAACAGAAAATCAGGAAACAGAGACTCTAAGAGATGCAAGGAAAGACAAAGGCAGCTTCAAAATTGGTGAGCGCTGGAGAAGGTTTTCCAGAGCAAGGGCATTGGAGAATATCCCATTCCGTGAGGCTTAATGACCATGCCCATTCATGCTCTTAAAAATGTAGCAGGTCACACTGCCATGGAGCCCAAAAAGTGCTGGCACAGACTCTCACATAGTCAAAAGTAGGGGAGCTATTTATAATGACCGAAGTAGCACCTGATTGTGGCCTTCATTCCTACTGTGAAAACCTGAGTTGTTTCTCACACAGTCATTGCTACCACAAAGAATGACATGCATGCAATTTAAAATATCTGAGCTGATAACAGTTGTTTGAATTTTGGATTATGCTTGCCAGAGTTTGCTAGATATACAGACCACATACGCTATTTCTGCTTTGTGACTGACTGTACATTTAAATCAGGTTCTGTGAATATTCTTGTTGAATTAGAATTTGCGTTTCATGAATGTTTCCCAGCCTTTTTCTAAAATTTCTGCTTTCTGTAAGTAGATAAATTTATTACAGTGTTTATAAATTTACATAAACACAGTGCAAATTCAGTCAAAGCAAATGAGTTTCAAAATTGCAATGGAAACTGAAACATTTTGCAGTATTCATCCCTCCCTACTTGGGAGGCAGCCAGATCTCAAGAGGTTACCAGCTCAACTCAGTAAAACCAAAGATATTCAGACCAGCATCCAGCTTGCTGGGCAGCTCTCTGGACAGAACCCCCTTGCCTCTGGGACTTGACTCATCTCTGCTTTTAAGGATTTCCTATGCAGCTGCTTTAATGACAACACCGTTGTCCCTTTCTTGAACTGAGAGAGATTTTGTACCAAAGCCCATGCTGGGTTTAATTTTTAGGGCTGCTTCCCATTCTTGTAGGGTGTGCCTCTTCTTTCTGGAATCTCCAAGCTATAGAAACCTCCAGGAACTCTGCCTTCCTTTCACTTCAGTCCTCCCTCCCCTGCTCGCTTTTCCAAACCATGTGAGTCTAAGTCTCTTACTAACAGACCCATTTCCACAAGGTGAGATATGGAGAATAATGGAGGAAAGGAGGTAAAGAAATCCTTTTTCACGGCATGTGATTTATTACAAAGAGAGCTCTACACCCTTCCCTTCAGCTTTGTGAGGTTGCGTTGGTTCATTGGATCAGTACCAGGTGAATCTCCAGATAATGCCGAACACAAAGCAGGGAGTTCCAATCCACAAATGGCACTACCAACAGGGTGAGCATTTGAAATTGAAAAGGTAGTGGGGAGGGGGAGAACTCTTTTTTTTTTTTTTTTCTTTTTTCCCTGTCAGGCTCATGGCAATAAGAGCGGAGACAGAGGGTAATTGGTCTCTATTGTTGCAATTCTTCGAAGCAGGAGTTATAGCAGGGAACTGCCATGAGACTGCAGCCTGCAAGAGCACGCAGGAAGAGCAGGTGTGCGGTGTGAGAGACTAAAGACAAGGGCAACACACAGAAGATTTGCTTCTTTTAATAAATATCACTTTAAAACTGATATATTCACGGCATTTTACAAATCAGCTCTACACCTGCCATCAAAGTCAGGTCTTCATTAGTGTGCATTTCATCATT